GGACAGCGCTCGTAAGTATGCTTTAGGCGCTCATAAAAGGCATCTTTGGCCAAATCGTCTTTACTTCCTTCGGAGGGTGGTCGCAAATCAACGATATGTTGAACATTTTCGCTTTTCGGCGGATTGTGGGGAGACGCTCATCCACCGGGGTGAATGCCACTACTCGACGACGGAGTCTCTCTCCCTCCACAATTCCGACACCAAATTTGCACTCCTTCATATGGCTGCTGTAGTATATGTCACAAGAACCTACTCGCTTTCGTCGTTGTCCCGTCCATCGTATTTCTTGGACGGCGCTGATGTCAGCCTTTATTTCTACGAGACTATCAACCATCTCGGCAGCTGGTGAACAGTGGCTGCAAAGAGACTTCAGCAGACCTTTAAACCAAATAAGTCGGAGTGTCTGCTACACTAAAGCTTCCTTTTTCATTTGCCGTGACCCAAGGATCCACAAGGTTGGCATTCGCTATTCCACGCGATTAAATGCGCTTCGTCCGGTTGCGTCTAAATTATTATTTTTAAAATGTGAGAAGGATTCGGCAATAACTTCACCATATCGAGGATTTTCGATGCAACCTCAATAAATGCTATGCACAGGTCGTCCAATCCGCTCCAACCGCTGAAGGGATTTTCCAAGCTTTTTTTCGAGCTAATCCAACAATTCGGGGTGAGCGTCTTAATGGGTTTTTCAAAAAAATGGAAGTACCTGCAGTTTATTTCAAACGGCCGATGGGTTTTTAGGAAGAGCTTTTATTTCATGTTATAAATAAATTTATTCTAAAAATTTTTTATTTAAATCAGAATTACATAACTTTGCCCCCTATTAAGAGAAACGATTAACAAGAGCAATAAACAAAATACGATGACCTTTTGCCACCAAATTCGTTAATGATTGATGATTGGGATCCATACTGATAGCGGCGGATATAGGCATATATATATATATATATTTATATAGAACACATTAATTATTTTTACTAACAACCTCTAATGCTGTCTGCAAATAAGCAAGGTGTTTTACACAATAGATTTAAGTAATAAAATTTTTAATTAATGAGAATTAGATACATAAAGAAGGCAGATAAAAGCATGACTGCCGCCTAACACTCCTCAAAGCTAACACAAAAAAAGGCTTATCTTTACACATTTTATGATTAATGGCGATTATTTGATTTCAAATAATTCTTCATCTGATTTTTAACTTTTTCAAACTCTATGGGTTAATACTCATATGTATTTATCTTTCTAACTGCAGAAAAGTGGTTTGGATAATCAGACTTTCAATTTTATCATTTGGCAGGTAAACCGAATTTTTAATTCTCCTTACAAGCTAAGTAATTAACAGCCGAAAACAATGCATGAACTGAAAGCTTTCTTACAAATGCTTTAGGTCCTCGAAGGTGACTTAAAACAAAATAACTGCCATATATTATAGTTTATATATATTTATATGTATGTTATAGTTTAAAATTTGAATTTTCTTTGCCTTATATACCTAACGGCTAATTGATATTGCCGTTTAGGAGGGTTGCCTCGTCACTCAACGTAAATCAAAGATGAATTTACCACAGTGAAATTTCGTTCAGCTGAATTTAAGCAAAGCAAAAGAGATTGGTATACCATCCAGCAATACGTACAACAAGCACTGGACAGGACGGCGTACAAACAGACACTGAACAGGCCATTCAACAGGAGTCAGTCAACACCTTCAAAGTCTCCCTTCGAGTGAATGGCGTGATCGAAGTAAAACCACCATCCATTGCAGACAACGAGCTCGAGCTGTCTCCAGCGACCCGTGTGACCTTGGCACAACTTAGGTCTGGATCTTGAAGCAGGTTAAGCTCCTACTTATCCAGACTCGACACCGGCATATCCAACGTATTCCCTGCATGTGGAGAGTCTCCGCACGACACTAACCACCTCTTCACATGACCCCATAAACCAACTCATCTAACCCTCCTTTCCCTTTGGTCCAATCCCGCCGAAACAGCATGTTTCCTGGACCTACCTCCCACTAGATAAACTCAGCGACTTAGATTGATCAAACCTGTTCCTAAGCAGAGTTGGCGGGCCGCTACAACAACAACAGATTGGGAGACGATGAATTTTCTCAACATCCAAAAACTGCAACAGTAGACAAGGACATAACGAAAGTTTGCCAAAATTGTGCTAGACTACCGCTGAATTCATTTGAGAAACGTAGAAGAAGTTATGTACATATATATTAAATCAACATTTAGATATGAGGAAGCTGTTGGTAGCCGCGCCAAGAACTTGCTCGAATGGACATTTCCAACGCTCTATTGATTCAGCTCAGCACCGATTAAGTTTCCAGATGAAACTTGGATATAGAGCATATACGCCTGAAACAAAAGTAGATATCAAACAGTGGATAGTAAAGGGTGAAAGGATACAAAAACAGCAAACATTGTTTTCTTAACAGATCTGTTTCCAATCAATTTTTTGCGGTTTCTTCATTTAAAAATTACCCTCTTAGGACCGAAAGTTCAATTAAGAACAATTAGTTTGTGAGTTATAGCAATTTAAAGAGCAGCCGCTAGGCAACTAGAGAGTCTCATTAGCTACGAGTAAAAACGATCATTTTATCTTCAAACGCTTTTTTCTCCGAACAGCATTTTCGGAATTTGCTGCAGTGTTTACTCAAAAATAAATGATGCGATCACTATCGATTTTTTTTAACATGTTCTATATATAGTTCTCCGTACAATGACCTATCGATTTTTGATCTGATCAAAAAATCGAATTTAGGCAGGCCAAAAACGACCAAAATTTTGGGTAGAATTCAACCATTTTTCTAAAACGCCGCCATATTGTCAACTTTTAATTTTTTTCCGTAGGTCATTGTACAGAAAATATTATATAGATTTCATTCACGGAGAAGGCCGCAATCACAGTGAAGGACCTTTTTTTCGTTGGAGATCGACTATAACTTAAAAAATATTTTATTTTTTTCTTCAAAAATTTCACTGTATATACTTGAAACCTGTATAAATATATTCTGAAAATTTTGAAATAATTGTTAAAGTGCTTTTTTTAATAAAAATTCCCAAAAATCACCTTTTTTAGGCCATTACACTAGGTGTGTCCCTTAAAATATTCACAATGATCAAACTAACCAGAAGTTAAGTAACCAGAACTTGGTGAAAACGAAAATGTCACATCAGCCTATCTGACCCACTAATCCACTAAACGCTTATTAGACTAAACATATACTCATTGCGGTGCCTAAGATTTTAGACGGGATATTAGATATATTTTGTGAAAACTAGTCACATTTTCATTATTACTCACTGCAGGTGCAACGAAACATCCCGACTTACATACTTGCCATAATAAACTTATATATGTATATGGTCAACCTCATGAATGCTGTAAAAACATTGATTGATTTGAATGAAACATTAAAATGGTTAAAATAACAATTGTCGATAATGCAGATCTGTAAGCTGGCAACTAGTAGCAGCAATGGAGTTCATATCACCTACTTTACCGACTACAGGTGATTTATTTTTGGTTTGAATAATTAGCCAAAGTGTGATGGTTTCAAATCCCGACTAGCGCCTCTGAGCATTTCTTTTATAGAATCCGATTAATGGAAAATTAATTAACAGCCCAGACAAAATATTTCTCAATATTAAATTATTATTTGAAAAGTGTCGCATTATTTAAATATTTCCCCTAATGCTCAAACACACATATGTACATACATAGTTAATTGCCGATACATGGCTGAGCTCACTTTCGTTACCAAGGAGTTTTAAAGTGGGTCAACGTTGTAAACTTTACCATCATTTAAAAGCTTAAAAAAATTAGCTTAATGTGTGCCGTTTTTTTTTTTGCTCTGCGAATAGAAACTGAATATGAAATGGTAAATAAAGTGCAAAATCACACTATAACAGCAACAAAATCAAAACAAAGTAGTTTAATAAAAGCTCAATAATATTTTTTGCAAAAAAAAAAACAACAACCGGCTACGACGCGTAAACAATAAACAGTTATATTGTTGAACTTGAGGCGAAAAAAGCTAACAACAAACAAAAAACAAGCAACTGAACAGACGTTGGCAAGTTGCGAGAAAACCACAAAGGGAACACCAAAATAGCTATCAAAAATGGTATGCTATGCTTTAAGTGCTCAATAATATAATTTGGACAGTTATAACAGTAAATACACGAATTCATTCGTAGGTACGTGTATGTATTTACATATTTACGAGGTGGCATACCTTTTATGTAATTCATGCTTAATTCATTTGTGCATTGTATATTCAGGTACATATGTACATACCCGTACATACATACATAAGTACGCAAGTATGCCTTCATAACGATCCCTTCTACCAATCTGCGGCATTTATTTATTTAGGTTTTTTTTGTTTAAATCATTGGTAATTTTCTAAGCTTTTTGCTAAAAAAAAGTTTTATTATTATAAAAATACCAAAAAACGAGTTATCGGATAATCGTGCGTTGGTGGAAAGGGCGTGGTGCGCCCAACAATTTTACACACTCACATATTATACATACACGCATACACAGTTAGATGGATAATGCCAACACCGGCCAGCGTTATACGTATGTAATAGGTATGTTAGCTAACGGCATGCGCTGCAGATTTAGCAAAGCTTCGATCTGACAACCATCGGTCAAAAGCTTGTACTCGTATGTACGAGTGCATATGTAAATGGAAACGTCCATTGAGGAACGCAAATCATTCAAACGCCGTTGGTTACTACTTGTATGCCCGCAGCGAAACGAAAACTTGCACTTTCAAATGAAATAAAAAGTGTTTTAATTTTAGAAAAAGGCAAAAACCAAAACAGAAATGTCGAGCCATGGGTACAAAGTAAATACAGCGAAATGCGTTCATATCATCGTTCAGCGGCGTCATTCATGCAAACTGTATAGCTGGTAAGCCGTGTATTCATTTTTGGTATAAAACCCACTACTCGTCTCTACCTCATTAGTATTCAAGCCACACACTCGAGAGTGGGAGGACAAAGCAGTAGCTAATTTTGTAATTTTTGCAGTTATACCATTCAAATAAGCGAAATGGCTTTCAAGGTAAGTGTATGAATTTTTCATAGGGACATGCACACATGATATAATATATGCCCCATCAGTGCGTTTTAGAGTTTCAAGTTGAAATTTCAACGAGTAATTTGCAATTTATTTCTTCTTACAGTATTTCACCGTTGCTCTGCTGATCACTGTTGTACAAGCCGGCCTTATTTCTGTACAGGAAGAGCATGGTATTCCTTTAGTGCATGCCCAAAACCACCATGAGTCAGCAGCTTTTTATCATGCACCTGCACAAATAGCTCATATTGCTCATGCAGCTGCTCCACACGCCGTACATTTGCTACACAAACAGCACTCAGCACACGAGCAGTATCCCGATGATCCCCATCCTCAATACAATTTCGCTTACAACGTACAGGATGCACTCTCCGGTGATTCTAAAAGCCAATCCGAAAGTCGTGATGGCGATGTTGTCCATGGTGAATACTCCTTAAACGATGCTGATGGTTTCCGTCGTACCGTCAAATATACTGCAGACTCTGTCAATGGTTTCAATGCTGTGGTAGAACGAGAACCCCTCACCCACAAAGTTGTAGCGGCTGCCACGCCTGTGCAGTATCATCACGCCCCATCGGCTGTTGTAGCACCTGTGCAGTACCATCATGCTCCTGCTCCAGCTGCTCAAGCTTACGCCGCGGTGCCAGTCCAACATCATCAGGTTGCCGCACACGTAAGCTACGAAGCTCCACATCAAGAAGAACAACACTACTACCACCATTGAATCGACTGAGAGCGCATTTTTCCATTAATAATATTACGCTTGACAACATTAGACAATTTTGTACAATACATACATATATACATACATACATACACATACATACTTTTTGCTAAATAATATTTCACAAAAGTTTATTCATTCAATTAATATCTAAGTATAAAGTGTTGGTGCCCAGAGAAGTTGAAGATGGATATAGAATATTTGCCAAGAGGTTACCGAGCAAAAAAACTGCAGTATTTTGAGATGTTTTCAAACAACTTAAAATCTTTTATTCCACTGGTTTTAAACCCAGTTTAATCACTTTACTGAGTAGTACATTTTACCGATTCTTTAATCTCATTCGCACTGCACAATTTCCATTTATTTGGAGCTTCTTTTAATGACTAAAGTTTTAAATAGTTTCTTAAGAGAGTCCAGGACATCCTATCTAGGCTTAGGTTGTAGGAGAAATTCTTCCAAATGGCAAGTTTGTGGGAGCCATTCTGAATGTTTGAATTTGCCTTTCTATTTTGTTTGATAAAATTCTGATTGCTAGCGCTTTTAAGAGATGCTCAACTAACAGAACGATATCATTTCGTTTTATTAATATAAAAAATTAACTTAACTAAATGATTTTGTTTCGTTAAGGCGTTATGCTATCGAAACGAAAAGAAATCGGTTACTGTTGTGACCGCACAATCTCAGTTATCAACAGCACACTTATCATTAAACGTTTAACATTACCTGTTAACTATTTAACAGTAGCGACAGCTTTTCATTTTGGGTTAAAACGTAATAAAATTCACTTTGATAACTGCTTTACCCGATAAGATTTCTAAATGTTTGAACTTTTAATGTGAATTTTATCGTTACGATGCAGCCTTGTTTTAATCTCTTTTGGAAGTGTCACTTCTCAGACTAACTTTCCTGGTAAACAGAAAGCAACAGAAAAAAGTTAGAGGGTTTTTTATATTCATGAAAAAAATACATTTGCAAAATTGCATATTTCCATTCCCTCCAGAATATATTTAATTTGTATTATTTGTCTTTTCTTTGTGACTCTTCACCTGTTTCCATTTCCCCTTATGTTTCTGTTCGGAGGATACACTGAGTCACAAAAGTCAAAAAAAAAGTGATCGATCTGCTATTTACAATAGCAAGTCATAAGAATCAAAAGAAATTGTTTTTGCTCTGCTTACACAAATTTCGTAGAAAGTAATAAAGTATGAAAGAGGAACTTGCGTAGAGGTAATATTTGTTTAAATGAAAGAGAAGCACAGAAAATAACAGTCTTAATACTTCATTTGAAAAATCATCTTTCTTTTCGGATTTTATTGATTTTTAAAATATGATAACTTTGTGTATATGTGTTTGTCCGATTTAAATCAAATTTGCGCCGTTTTGTTCGTAAATTATACCCCTCCCGTAGAAGGCTGCCTCCTTATTAGCAAAAGAAACTCGGAGAGCCAATTTTCACAGGCCTCTCTTGAGGCCAACTTCTCACCATTTAGCGCGTTCGCTATGGACAGGAAAAGATGGTAATCACTTGGTGCCAGGTCCGGACTATAAGGTGAGTGCATTAGGACCTCCCATCCGAGCTCCTGGATCCATTTGTTGGCAGTACAAGGCCGAATTGAGCGTTTGGCCATAGGATAGCAGCTCGTAGTAGATTATTCCTTGCCAATCCCACCAAACACAAAGCTTTCCTGGCCGTCAAGCCGGACTTGTCCACCGTCTAGGCCGCTTCCCCGAGCTTTGACCACAACTGTTTGCGCTCGATGTTGTCGTAAGTGACCCATTTTTCATCGCCAGTCACAATCCGCTTCAGAAACTGGTCGATTTTGTTGCAATTCAGCAGCAGATGGAAGTTCGGTCCATCATGTTTTTTGCGTTAGTTCGTGAAGCACCCAAACATCGAGCTTCTTGGTTCAAACGGTTTTCTGACTTATCTTTAGTTCCTCAGCAATTAAATAAGCTCTCACGTGAAGGTCTGTTTCCACTATTTCCATGATTTTATCGCAATTTTCGACGACAGCCCTCCCGAAGCGTGGTGCATCTTTGACTTCGAAATTACCGGAACGGAACCTAGCAGACGTTCGTTTAACGGGTACAAATACTAAATTAATTTTTTCAGCCGTAATGGCTGCTTTTCGCCTTGATCGAAGAAAAATTGTAAAATATAGCAAATTTTCTCTTTGCTGGTGTCCATCGTTGACGAGCGCTCACAACAGACTGAGTCAATCAATCGAAAAACTGTCAAATACACTTTTAGCGCGAATAACCACGTTTTCAGCGCCATATAGTACGACATGATGCGACACGTAACACTAGTACTATGGCCAATAACGCCATCCCTTTCTAATATAATCCTTGCATCAATTCATCAAAAGTAATCTACAATTTATTCTATATGAACAATATTACGTGATTTCAGCAAATCTTTTAACTCTACTTTCGACGCTACCTGAAATAAAAAAAGAGATACAAAATTACTATTCAAATAAAACAAACATTGTATAGTATAATTGCTACAATTACCTTTATATCATTCAATAAGTTAGTGTACTAAGCCGCTTGCCATTTGTAACTTTAATGGTGAGTCCCCAATAGAATGCCATCAGCCTGTGCTATTAGAAGGTTTAAGTTATATTTTTAAACCTAATATACTATTCAATGTTCTGTTTCGTTGAACACATGGAGCAAGTTATTCCTTTCCGAAAACCAGCCTCTTCGTCTTCTGGTGGAATTCGATTTGCTCCTTGGAGGTTCTTTGTGCTCGATAAATATTAAAAAAATGTAGAAAATAATAAAAATAATTCAGGTAATACGCCAATTTAACACATTCAAAAATAAGGTCTTTGCTAATGTTTAGAATAGTTGTTGTTTTTGTTTATTTTAATGAATAATTACGGTTATAAAAACTGTTTAACTGTTTATCGCATGCAATCGAGAGCTAATTTTTGTTGCACAAGCACGTCCACCAAAGGTCGTTATCATCTGCTCGCTGGAATTCATTTTTCAGGCGAGCTTATTGATACTCTCGATACTGAATTTCAATAGATACTATGGTGACATAAATAGTATCAATCAATTTGTGAATTAGTGACTGTATCAAATTACTAAATGCCGCTGTTAGATTAATAACACGAGCAAGAAATTTCGTTTCCGCTTGCATATCATAAACGAAAGAAAATATCACAAATTACAACCTTGAAAATCATATGAAACACGAATATGACGGATGATCCAAGTAGAGGCACCTTTTAAAGTAGCTTCTTTTTGACTAATCACACGTAAGTCGTGTTCAGCTGTCATGTTTTTAGTGGAGAAAATAAAGCGATCGTAGCTGAGAGTGTACACGAAGACCGTAGGGAGTCGACTTGGCGCCGTTCGCAATAACTCGGACTGATATGGCGCATTTTATGTCGAGATCTTAAATTGAAAGCGCAAGAAATACAGTTTGTGCAAGAACTAAAGCCACTTGACCTTCCAAACGACATCACTTCGCTCTATGGGCTCTTCAAAAGTTCCAAGAAGTTCCGATGCTTTCGAGTCAAATTTTGTTCAGCGACGAGGCCCATTTTCGACTCAATGGGCATGTAAAAAAGAAAAATTGTCGCATTTGGGACGAAAAAAAAAACCTGAAGAGATTCAAGAACTGCCATTTCATCCAAAAGAAACGGTTTGGTGTGGTTTGTGTGGATGGAATCATCAGTACATATTTCCTCAAAAATTTTGCCGGTGAGAACGTAACGGCACCCTAATAACCGACTATTTGGCGCCTGAAATTGGTCATGGTAACTTCGACGACATTTAGACTGAACAAGTCCATTGGATTTATGAAGAAAACACTTCCGTGGACAGATAATTTCATGTTTTTTGGCCGGACGATTGGCCACAAGATCGTGTTATATCACTCCATTAGACTTTTTCCAGTGGGGATATGCAAAGTCTAAATTAAATGCGGACTTCCCCTTTGATTTAGGCCTTGGAGCAAAACATCACTTGTGGCATTCGCCAGTTACCAGGCGAAATGCTCGAACCAGTCATCGGAAAATTGAACTCAACGGATGGAGCAGCTGAGACTTAGGCGCGACCAATATTTGAAAGAGATAATATTCGAAAAAATAGATTCCAAAGAATGTTCTTTGATATGATAATAAACAATCCCTATTAAATTTGAATTTTCTTTGCTTTTTTCCTTTAAAATGTAGGAAACTTCGACATGGATCACCTTTACCTATTATACAACTTATTCATATACATACATACGTATGTGATGTTTTGACAATTATGTAAGTAGTTAAATAAGTGAATTTAAATAACCATTCCAAATTTTTGGTGTGTGTCTATATCTTTTTTCAACAAGTGGAGGAACCTTCAGATCATACTAAGTCGCCTCCATACTGATGAACTTTTATGATGAACTTTGATTTCATGACAGAAATTCCTCGGAGATCTCAACATACCCACCCGTGGGGAAATTGAGATTAGAAAATTTAAGTTTCTATAACTTTAGATGTTAGTCAAGCCTTCAAGTCATGGTAGGCCTTCCCAATGGTAGTCAGCGCTGCCAACCACTCGGCTATATTTTATATATATACATATGACATATACATGTACATAACATAAGTGGAATAAAGAAATTGCTCTCCCACAAATTCGACACAGAACACTCGGTTATACATAAACAAGTAGTTTCAGTCATATCAGAAATATTAAGATTTTGTATTCAGTCCCTCTAGGTGTATTTCTGAAAAAAATGAACTCGTCAGCCGTCTGAAAGTGAATTAAAACGGTGGGTGTCTCCATTTATTATAAATGCAGCAAGATGCGCACCATGTCTCAACCATTTAGTAGCACTGACATTTTTAATATACAATAACGCGGTGACTTATGTGGCGGACCATGAGCTATCGAACGGTCAACAATGCACTGAAATTATTAAAATTCACTATAAAACTTTCATCGAAAAATAGTCTTGACCGATGAGGCCCAGTTCCAATAAGCAAAACCGCCTTATCAGGGAATCGGAAAATCCAATATTTACTATTGTTGGAAAACCTGTCCATCGTCAATGTGTGCGGTGCGTGAATCGCGGTATCGAGATTGAATAATGATGTTTTAGGCCGAAATTAGATGGTATTGACGTTTACTTTCAACAAGAGAGGGTCCCATGTGCAACAAAAGCAATGAAACCATCGATCTTTTAAGGGAAAAGTTTCGTTGCATATCAAAATAACACCTTTTATTCGAAAACGTATTATTTTGCGCTGGCATTAAAACACAGTACCGACCAATGCAGTAACGAAGTGTATGATATACATATATCAAACTAATTGAATTTTCTGAATCTACAATACAAGGTGCGTTCCAAAGTAAATAGGACTTTAAAACAAAAAAAAACAGAACAAATGTTTTTATCGACAAAATCAATTAATTTTATTCAAAACAGTCTCCTTCTGCTTTAATATAGCTTTTTGAACGGTCCAAAAGCATGTCGAATGAGTGTTTTAGCTCGTTGCCCGGTATGGCCGCCAGTAGACCAGTGCAGGACTTTTGAATGGCCTCCACGTCTGCATAACGCTTTCCTTTCATCGGCGAATGCATTTTTCCGAAAAGGTAGAAGTCGCACGGTGCCATATCAGGTGAGTACGGGAAGTGGTTGATTATTAAAAAATGTGTCAATTCTATTTCCATGAATTTCTATTTATGATGGTTTCGGCTGATTCTTTATGAATTCACGCACAGTTTCGATGGAATTTTCGGTGATCACGGATTATCATATCATTTATGTCCTCCCGACCACTTTGAAAACGTGGAAATCACTCGTGCAACGGGATAGGCAATCATCGCCATAAACTTGTTTCATCAATTGAAACGTTTCGGTAAAAGTTTTACCAATTTTAAAACAAAATTTTATGTTGACTCCTGGTTCGAAACTCATATTCGCACCGAAGACAAAAACACACTGACACTTAAAACGCAATAACTTCACACCCAATAAGTGAAATGTCATGAAATTTTTACTGGAAGTCGATGAAGCTGCTATCCTTTATCCTTTCCTTTCTAACGCGCTAGATGGCGCCACTAGAGGGCGCTAGATTCAAAAAGTCCTGTTTACTTTGGAACCCACCTTGTATTATGCTTTTTTTTTTTTGTTCTCAAACAAATGCTTTTATCTACAAAGGATGTAGAGAGATACAATCTTAAAAATGCCTAGATAATTTCTAAGCTTAAACTCGGCTGTACATGAAGTGGAGTGGAAATGGCAGTAAATCTTCTTTGGGGTATGCAAGTAATTTGATAAAAACCATAGTGTAAAATTTTAAGTACTTTTATTTCTTAAATCACATGCAACTACAACGTTTACCATAAACACAGTCAATCAATTTTTTCAACACGAAAATAGGCACTTAGTGGTGGGCGGTGGTGTAAGTGGTATAAGCAGGAGCTGCATAAGCATGAGCCACAGGTGCAACTGTCTTAACGACAGCCGGTGCAGCGTAGGCTACGGGCGCATAACTTTTAACAACTGGCGCAACAGCAACGGATTTCACCAAAGGTTCGCGGTTCACAACAGCATTGAAGCCATTGATTGGATCAGCCGTATACTGCACAGTACGCTTGTAACCGTCAGCATCAATTAGCGAGTATTCACCGCGTACAACATCACCATCACGTTCCTCGATTTGGTTCTTTGAGTCACCTGACACAGCATCTTGCACATCATAGCTGTATTTGTACTGAGGATGAGGATCGTACTCGTCATCGGCCTTGGCTAGCACTGGTTGTGCTGCATAAGCTACTGGAGCAGCTTTGACGATATGAGCGGCTGGTGCTGTGTGGTAGACTTGTGCGGCGGGAAGTAATCCAGCGTTGGCGACAGCCAGGAGAGCAAATACAGCTACGAACTATATAAATAATGTGCACATATGCATGTACATATTGTATGATATTTTAGCAAAACATATGTTAAAAAAAAGTGCTGTAAATTACCTTGAATGCCATTTCGTTTCAATTTATCTGTTGACTTGTTTGCGTGCTACTGAGCTTGTGTTGCTCTGATGAAGGAAAATCTGTTAATGCTGCTCCAGTTGTCCAATGTAGTCTATTTATACTACTCCACGCACGGCACAATAATAATAGCACAATTATTTTGGAATGATACATTTTTTTTTATCTTCATTGTACAGACATAATTTGGTGATGGTGAGTGGAGCAGCAGAATGTGTGTGCCGAAATTGTAACATTGAAACTGCGGCCAAACGAGTCAAAAATGCTATTGTCATATTGTCTGCTTTCTTAATGATTTTTCAGTTTATTAGCTTTTACGTACCTTAACCGATTACGAATTGTAAGAATGCATATGTGTGTACTTACCAACGTGTACCTACATGCAAACGTAGCTCTATGTCATGTATGTATGTACGAGTACTCTTAATTTAACCATAATTTGAATTAATTTCATCACAAATTTCTTGTATTTATTCTCTTAGTTCACTTTCAGCCACTCTTACCGTGTAAAGCTGGAAATAGATTTTTAGTTTTCAATTGATCATTTTGAAAAATGTTAATTTTAAAACAAAATTTTTTTCGAAATTCTTTGCGAAAAGTACTTTTTTGTTATATTTAGCTGTGTAAGTGATTTATTTCGATTCTTCTTCTTCTTTTTTATCGGCATTGGCAGTGCTCACGCGATTGAAGCCGAATCTACAATATCAAGCGTTTAATCTCCTCTTTTCACTGTTTGGCACTGGCTGAAAATATCAGGTGAATTCAGGTCACTCATGCCTAAGCTTTCGAACGGAGTAAAGGTCCTCTTCTTCCATAAATCGTTCGCCAAATTTTTCTCCCGAAGACTTCCAAAGCCGACTCATCGGCTGTCCACGCTTCAGCGCCATATAGTGGGACGGTTATAAAGACCGACACTTAGAGTTTGGTTTTCGTTCGGCGAAAAAGAACTTTACTTTTCCGTTGCCTACTCAGTCCGAAGTAGCACCTGTTTGCAAGAGTGACTCTGCTCTGGATTTCAAGACTGACATTGTTGTTGATGTGAAAGCTGGTTCCAAAGCTCCGCTTCTCAATCTATTCATGGCCACTTTATTTTTCTCTGTACATGTGTCTTGCCTCCCTCTTAAGTTCTCAGCATCGTCCGTGTACTGTTCGTTAGCAACGTTGCGAGGTTGGCTGTATGTTTTCTCTCGGCTGCGGTACTGCAATCTTAAGCGTGCCAGCTGCTTTTTTTTAGCCTGATTAGAGCTTTTCGAAGTAGAACCTTCTTGGTGTTTATTGACGGGCGCTGTTTGTTGTTCCGGGCGCGTCGGGAATAGTTTTGCTGCAACAAGGCCGTGGTTCGACGTTAGAGGCTCGGAATTTTCGCACGTCAAGACCATTAGAGACAGATCGACGCATCTACCGCAACATGATCGATAGCGGTTTAAGCCAATTACATTTTTCACATCATGACGCTGCTTCGTGAGCACGCTTTAAGTGCTTATAAAAAAGGGCATACTTGGTCACCTCGTTCTTTCCTCTATTGGCGATAAGTTGACAACTCTTGCTTTGGCACGATTGTTGCAATAAGCTCTACTGGGGTGTATGCCAGTATTTGGCGTTAGAGTCCAACCACGATTCCGATACCAAATAAGCGCTCTTTTATATTGCCGTTGTAGTAAACGTCATAAGAACCTACTCGTCTTTGTAATTTTTCCATTTATCTCAGTTCTTGAACAGCGGTGGCGTCAGTACTTAGTCTTACGTGGACGTTAACCAGCTAATACGTTTGCGCCATTGAAAGGGGATGATGTCTCTTTGTTATTGGAGCTGGTTTCTATAAGGAGGGTCCCGAACCCAGCGCACAATCTCGAAAGGCGGATGTATTTAAATTCATTACACATTCATAGAGTGAGCTGCTTGCTTCTAGATCGACATCCGCTCGCCCCCGACATCGCTGATGAACATGCAATTAAACCCTTAAATTGAATATGCCGGAGTGTTCCACTGAAGCTTCCTTTCCGATATTATTGGCCTTCACATTTAGCTCAGGCGTATTTTTAATTGCCTCCGTGGTTCATCTGCAGTGCATAAAAAACTCTTTGGCATTCATTATAACAAAAGACAATAATAAACTTAAATATACTGTAGAAACCGTTAATTATGACGTTCATATGTTCATACACAACGAACTTTGGCTTTCATATAAAATTCTTCGAAGAGAAGTCGGATATAATGACTTCGCTTACAGTGGCATTGTCGCTTATTATGCCTCATTTTTAATAAATGATATCCGGTTTTAATAACCGACATGATTTGCTACACCGGCATTGTTCGTTGATTCCCGACGAAGTTCAAACTCTACTCCCGCCAAGGAGTTCGATGTGGGTTATTCTCCAATCGCAATGATTTTCAAAAACAAAAACCGGACGATTGCTTAGTTTAATTCAAATGTTTTGAAACCGAAGAGGCTTCGAAAATCGCAACAAGAAAATGTTGATGAAGCATTTTTTCACCGGCCCTATGCTACAGGAAATGGAAAATATTGCTACCGCTCGTTATGGTATCCTCGAACCATAGATCTGCAAGCTGAATCAGTCGTTTTAAAGTTCGACATAACATTGTGGCGGGAAAAATTGTCCGTGAATCTTCATCTGTTGATCAAAATGCAATATAAAACTGGTTCACGTCTATGTGGCCGAATCAAATAATTGTAACCTCTGAAGGGATTTTCCGTCGAGCTCTTCCTCCAATTTGTGGTTTTGCGTCTTAATGTTTTTCCAACGATTGGAGGGACCTACAGCTTATACAATACTAAGCCGCCTCCGCCATCCGTCGGATGTTTTTTTTATGAGGAGCCTTTATTTCATTTCGGGATTTGAACCCGAGCCTTCCGAATAGCATTACGCAATGCTAACCACTCGGCTACCGCCACCATGATCGTCTAGTGGTTAGGGCGCTACGTTGTGGCCGAATCTAAGGAGACAATATTCTAACGGTGAGATATTTAACGCTGATGAAACTGGACTGTTTTATAACTTTCTGCCGGACAAAACTTTAAAATTTAAAGGGGAGAATTATATATATGTTTATGTGTAGCACAGAGAAAAAGAATTTGCTAGTTATTGGAATGCGGCTAAAACCAAGATGTTTTTAGCAGTGTCAAATCGTTACCTGTCGATTATGCTAGCAATCGTAGAGGTTGGATGACGTCAGAAGTTTTTGAAAAATGTCTACGAGAGTGGGGTCGTGATTTTGTGAAGAAAAGGAAGGAAAAGATTTAATTGCTGCTTGATAATTGCCCAGCTCATTCAAAACTTACTGCCTTAAAGTCTATAACGTTTGCTTTCCTTCCGCCAAATACAACATCAGTACTACAACCAATGGATCAGTGAATAATGCAAATCACTTAAAACTAATTTTAGAAAAAACTTTGTACTCCAAATGATTAATTGGCTAGATGCTAATGAAAATAACTCTTCTACAAAAATAACGGTACTAGAGTGTAATCCTAATGATTAATTATGCCTGGAATAAAGTGTCACAAAGTACCGTTCACCACTGTCTCAAACATTCAGGATTCACTCAAAACCACAACGAATTACCTGTTCAAATAACAGAACATGAATGATGAAGTGACCTTTATCTTTGTGGCCACGTAACTTAAATTCAGATTCTTTAGAAGCACAGGAAAACTGAGAAGATTATTTTGACAACGATAGTGTTGTCCTCATATCCCAACAACCCACCGACAGAACAAGCTATGCATGAAGCTTTCGTATTCTCAAGTAGAAGAAGAAGAAGAATGAAACTCACTCACTTTACAGCTTAAATTATCTCTTATAATTAGTTAAGCGAAATAGTCCCGTTATATGTTCGTATTGTCAGGAATTCTGTTATATCAAATCAAGCTGTACTTTTCAGTTATCTGTTAGATGGAAAAGCCCATGGTGGCACTAATAACAAACAGTTTAAACATACCTTTCTTCACTCCAAGGCAGCTAATTGCTTACTGTCAACCACGATCACTCTTAAAAACAGCTGGGTTGAACTTATTTTGGCTGAAATCTACTCTTTGAACTAGGTGATAGTTTCTTGTGTATAGAGGATTAAAATGCGAAGTATGCCCACTAGGACACGAGACTAATAAGCCCATAATGTCGGCTTGAGACAAAGAAAATTTAGCTTAATTGTTTATTTAAATTAGTTTTCCCTCACTTTTGGATGTCGGTGGTACCGGGATATGAACCCGAGTCTACCGAATGACATTGAAAGTGAGTTCATTTTTTGGACTTACTACGTTCAAAATTAAGCCGGTTAAATATTAAAAATACATAGGCAGTTCAGACCAATCCTGAAATTGAGAGGGAAGCTGAAATTAAAAACGAGTTACAGTATGTTATCAACTATAGCAACACCAAACCTACCGAACCCCGATTCAGATACCAAAAACAAAAAAATATGAAAATGAGTACAACGGTGATGCTTCTACTAAAAAATCTCTTTACAGAGCTGGTAAAAACCTCGACCGAAAGAAAAAAGACCTTAGTAAGTAATCGAACCTAATTCTGTTTCAGTTGCCTTGTTACCAGCCGAGAAGCTATGTTTGAGCTAAGAAATTTTATTAACATTTTGGATGCAAAGATATCACTTGGAGATACGATTATATCACATCAAAAAGTCTAAAAGAACCATCAAGCTCTGCTCTAGTTCTCTCACAAAGCAATTCAGTGTCATACTAAAGCTAACCACAAATATTGAAAATGCCGCAGATAACCAAGATTGGTAAACCAGTTAAAGACGCATCACATAGACTAATCTGACTGTTGCCTTGCAGAAACCTAGACTCAGCCTTCTTTATAATGCAACTTCTAAGGGGATATATGGAATCCAGTTATAGGCCACAGCATGAACGTCGAATATAAATATAAAACAAAAATTCCTATCAAAAGCTTTAAGAGGAACAACAGTCGCACCATTGTACATACGTAATGAAGATATCCATAGAGATCTAAATATACGTAGCGTCCCAAAAGAATTGTCACGATTTTAACACAAAAATATATAGCAAAACGGCACAACCATCCGAACCCTCTGGCTATCCCCTTGGCATCCGCAAGAAATCATACGCGCCTCAAGGCCTTACTATCTCTTAATGAGCTATATTGAACCAACAGGTTATTCCTAGCTAATAGGCTACATATGCATTATATTATACTAAAAACTCTGTACTTTTTTTTATAATTTATTACGTGAAATTGATTATCTATCTGTGCCATATTTTTGTGTTTATTAATACAAAGAATTCAAATCATAGTAATTAATAAATAAAAATAATAAAATTACTTTCAGACATTATAAACCATTTGAGCGTATACAAGTATTCCAGTTAGTGATTTTTTTTTTTAATTCACTTGACAATTTTATAATATTTTAAGAATTATAACAGATAGTTAAACAGCACAAAATAAAAAAAATGGGCATGGTATTTTAGTGATTTTTTATTACAGCATAATTAGAACTGAATTTTATTAACATTACCACTAAACTAATATGTTATTTTTGTGATCAAAATAAGCATAAATAAAAAAGTTGTTATAATTTGTAGAAGTAAATAATTGTGCCTGCTACAAAGCTATGTATTTATATACATATGTAGTACCACTCATGGCGTTTATTAATTTATTTAATTTTATTTTGTTTTATTTTATTACAATACAATTTCAAAAAATATAAATATATATATGAATATATTAAAACTTCCGTGACTAACTATTTGGCCAGTGAAAAAACGCACATTGAAATAATCAAAAAGAAAAACTGTTAAACTCACCACAATGGACAATTTTAGAAATGAATTTTAACAGATTTGATGGAATTTGTTTGATGCCTAAAAAATAACTCGAAAATACTTGCATTATGAGCATATTCAGGATTCTATGCTGCTTTCATATGTGACGCAGCTTTCAAAACTAATTTAAATAGAATAATTTACAGATGTCAATAACAAATAATTCTCATATACATACATATGTATGGAAGTAAATGTGTATAGAGTAATTCAAGTAACAAGTCATCCATTATTTTTGCATTAAACTGAAGACTCTATTTGCCGTACTTAGAATTATACGATTTTCGTAAAATATGCACCGTTTTGCGCGATAACTTTTGTCTCTCTCATAGAGACGCTTGCCCGTATGAGGCCACAGTGCATCATAGACAGAATGGTAATATTTTGGTAAGAGGTCCGGACTATAAGGTGTATGCATAAGAACCACCCAACCAAGCTGTCAGAGCTTCTGGCGAGTCACTATCGACGTATGTGGCTTGTCCTGCTCTCCCGTTGGCCAGAATCTGAGCGCTTCTGGACGATTACATGTCTGAACTAAGAGTTTGGTCGTAGGGCTGTAGCGCACAGTGGTTGTTTCCTTGCCAATACCACCAAACACAAAAAAAACCTGGCTAGAGACCGTTTCTATCGTGTGCTGCCTTTCGATCGTGAGCGTTTCTAGTTCCTATAGGTAATGCGCTTTGAATCAGCAGTCACCATGCGCTTCAGAAAGGAGTCGAATTTGTGACGACAGAGCAGTGATTCGCAGATGGAAATTCAGTTTTTCTTTTATAACTCATGTGGCACCCATACATCGAGCTTTTTTTAGTATACAGACAAAAGGAAAAGTGCTCGCATTTATTTTATTGACATTTTCGACAATTGGCCTTTCACGCTGAGGAGCATCTTTAAAATCAAAATTAACTGGACGAAATCGTAATTGTTCATGATTATCTGTTACAGTTTCAGGACCATAAAAACTTTTTTTTTTAACAATTTCATGTTTCTGACCATTAACGCAGAATGTAGAATGTAGGGCATTCTTGGCATGAGCTCAAACACTACTGAGTTAAGTGATCAACACTTCTAACGCGATCTAGCGTAAAACAATCGCCCTTACAGAAAGCTGGAAAAAGATCACTAAAGCCATTTATTGCAAAAATAATGGATGAGTTGTTACTTGACCTATTGTTTGAGGAATCTTTACTAAGCTCTTTCGAAAATTGTATGTATTTATAAACACAAATATTCATTTTGATATATTTACTACTTAATACTACATACAGTATGTCAAAAAGATCTGAATTTAAAATGAGAAATTTAGGGATTTGTATTAAAAGCTGGCGTAAAAATGACCAAAACATTAATAAAAAATTTATTCAGAAACGGATTGGAATTTAATGCGAAATACAGATACAGAAGAAAACAAAATACCCTCTGTCAGCAAAGAGTCATGTCTTTAAAGTTGTTGCAAATTTTGTCTATCTCCATGGAAACCAACTGCTTTTGCCAGCAGGTGCTATTTTGCAGTTGAAAAGAAAAATAATCTCTCGATGATAAAATCTGACGGCGAAAGACAAAAATGGTTAGCGTTAACACCGTTATAAGCGAGTAAGCGGTGCATACGCCAATAAAGAGGAAAAAACTTGCACGACAGTGGCTCTAAAAAGTTTTGCTAGAAATTTAGTGTTCGCATTCACGTCAATCAGACAGTCACAAACGAGCTTTGTGTGTTGATAAGAATATAAGAGTAACTATTCATCGGGTTCTGGAGCTCTCATGCAACGACAAAAAAAGAAAATTAATTTCTAAGATTTCTCTAATGAAATTAGGAGCGTTAATTTTGTTTGATCGGATTTCACTTGTGGTTGAAAAATAGACTCATTTTTTCAAATTTATTGTAGGAAGGTTTGAAAAGGAATAGAATATCTTATAAGTATTAAGTAAACTATAGGCCTGGATTGCTTGTATGAATTGAATATTTTGTAATACAACAAAGAAAAATGATAGAAGTGACAGCTGTTTCGGAGATCACCATATATCCTCATCAGACTTCTTATGGGAGGGATCGAGCCAACGGATCCTGACTTAACAGGCAAGTGCTCCACCACTGCGCCAACCTCAGCCATATAATCTTTTGTTGTATTATTCAACTCATTATTAACCAAGAATTTCTATATAACCATTTCATTGAAAATATATTGAAGTATAAAAATATATTCTTTGATAATTATTTTGCCATAAAATGGCGGTGATAAAGTCTACAAACTATGGTCTTTAAAAGTATGTATGGATTTATTTTTTAATTAAATTTTTTTTAAGATTGATTTTTGATTAAAAAATACGCACTAAATTATTAAAAAAAAGGAGTTTACATTTAATCGAAAAACGGCTACGTACAACCAAGAAAAATGTATTTGTAAAGCTACCATCAGACATTTAGATACATCGATGCAATTGGGTACTAATAATCTGTTCTCGCAGTACTGACGGGCGGCTGGCAAAATAAAAAGTTCAGCTATTTGAATATTTTTTTTTCACTTTAAAACCAATTGCATATCATTTCTAGGACCCAACGGTGCACTGTGAGAGAAAAAAAATTGCGTTTTCTAAAATTCCAGCGTGACTTTACCCTTTAAATGAGCAATACTGTAACTGTTATAATCCTCCTTCACACTCGCACGAAACATTCTGTATGCGTGCTCCAATTCTAAAATTCGGTCATAAATTTTCGACGATTTGTGATAAATATCAAATATGTATACATTTAAAGTCTTATGCATTGTTTATGTTTTTTTATTTAGCTGGTATCTCTTGTGTAAAAACAAAACTAAAAAGCTCGACTACAGAACCCAAATTTTACGCGAACAAATTTAAACGCTGCTCATGCGCTGCGGCGCGACTTAAATGGTCAGCCGTTGAGCCAAAAATGAATAACAATTATTTGTTAATTATTTGTCATCAATGTCAAAGTAGAGGACTTGAGTATAAATGCCGTCTGCCAAAACAGAGGACGACATTCAGTCTTTAACATTTGTTCCAAACAGACAACACAAAAGAATTAAAAAAAAAAAAATGGCCATCAAGGTGTGTTTAAAAATTATATTTTAAAATAATTAAAAATTATGTGTTTGTTGAAATTCTTAAATATTTTGTATTTAATATTGTGTTTGTGCTTTCTGTGTCTATCTTCAGTTGGTTATCGTTCTCGCACTTTGCGCTGTTGTGAATGCCGGTGTTGTCGTGCCCGCTGCTGCTCCCGTAGCTGTGGCTCCTGCTACTGTGGCCGTGGAGGAATACGACCCCCACCCGCAATACAAATATGGATATGATGTGCAAGACAACCTGTCTGGTGATTCCAAAGGTCATGTGGAGGAACGTGATGGCGACGTAGTGCGTGGTGAATACTCTCTAATCGATTCTGATGGTTTCAGACGTGTCGTCACTTACACTGCTGATCCAATTAACGGTTTTAATGCTGTCGTACGTCGTGAACCATTGGTTGCCCCCGTTGTTGCCGCACCTGCACCTGTTGTACGTGCTGCCCCAGTAGTTGCAGCGCCAGTAGCTGCGGCCCCTGTAGTCAGAGCCGCACCATTGACTGTCGCTGCGCCAGCCGCGCCTGCTTTTGCATACAGCCGTTTTTAGAGAATTAGAGTGTTAATTGAAATATTGTTTTGATATTGGAAGAAATAAATGTGATCTTTATATACCTTAAGTAAAATACATTGCATTCATTTTATATGCCTTCAAATTGTATTAAATTTGATAAGTGAAGTGCGACGTCGAGTATACAACATTATTCTATAAAAAGAAATGAAATTCCCACACAAAAATTATTTAATAAGCGTGTTCTTTTTGTATTGTCCCAAAATTAACGCAAGACTTAAATTTGCCACCATTTAAGTAATAAAGTGTGGACAACTCTAAAAAAAAACAAGTCGACAGGAGAGTTTAGGTTTAGAGAAAATGGAAGGGAACAATATAGAAAAGCGTGTCTTCATTTTTGAAGAATATTTTAAAAATAATTCAAGCTGGACTAACACAGTTCGAAAATTTCATAAAAAATATGACCGCAATAGTATTTTATCTGAGAATTTCCAGGACAGACAATATCCGTCGGAGACGCCAAACACACTGGTTAAAACCAAGTGGTTCAAATGGCAATATCTGGGCAGTGTATTCTCACTAAAAAGCTGTATCTGCATGATTCCAAAATTCAATTAGCACAACAACTAAAGTCTAAAGACCGAAAAGGGTTTGTTAATGGATTATTGAGCATCAACAAATTGATGCTGAATTTTCGAGCAAAATAATCCTAAGCCCTGAAGCGCATTTTCAGTTTGATAGGTCTCTTAATCGCCAAAATAATCACTTTTGGAGTTCTGATAACTCACGGATGATTGTCGAAAAACAAATGCAGTCTCTGTTTGGTATAGATTTTATTGATCAAAATCGCAAAATAACAGCCCAGTTCTTATGGCCGAAATCGGACGATATTAATGTGTCCAATATGTGGTTTCTCAAAGAGGCTGTCATATGCCATACAGCTTATGAAATACTTCAATTACTGTATGAGAAATCTCCAGTTTGTGTACCGTCTCGGTATGAGTGATCAGAATTTGCTCTCTAGATCGTGAGATTTAAAACTATTAGGCTTCTTTTATTAAGTTATGCAAAATCACAAGTCTATTACAACAACGCGTTTGCTTTTTAAGGAGAAGATTCAACGTTGCATCAACCATATCCAGCGCCAATTTTTTTTTTGCCCCGGCTTATACCAACCCAATTATTTACTTGCTTTACTGGCGTAGACATCGCCGAGTGTTGATGCTGGTCTCTAGATAGATGAGATTATCTACGATAACAAATTTATTTCTGTCAACAGTGGAGTGGGCTCCAAGTCGTGAATGTGATGACTGTTTGTTTGATGACAGAAGATATTTCGTCTTACACTCATTCAATATCAAACCCATTCGCTTCACTTCTTTATCAAGCCTGGAGAAAGCAGAATCACTTCGGCGCAGTTGTTGTGGCCAATAATGCCAATATCATCGGCGTACGCGGGTGGCGAGACGTTCAACTAACGGGTTGAATGTCATCACGACGGAGTCTCTCTCTCACCACAAAACCGACGCCAAATTTGTGCTCTTTATATGGCTGCTGTCGTTAATGTCAAAGACCGACTCACTATCGTTCTTGTCCCGTCCATCGCACTTCTCGAACAGCGATCATGTCAGCCTTTGGTTTAGCAAGGACATCAATCAGCTTGGCAGCGGCGCCTTGGTCGTCATCAAGAGCAGGAATTGATTATAGGCACGCGGCTGTAACAGCATACCCCGGAGCTTGACTACACCCCACTTAAGGATATTAATATATTAAACTGCGCTCTGATATGTTAGCGATTTTCCGCCGAGCTCCAGCTCCAATTTTTGGTTTTGCGTCTTGATGTACAGTTTATACTAAAGCGCCTCCGAACGGCTGATGGTTCTTTAGGAAATTCACTAGGACTACATATCCTGCCGAGTGGCGTCCGCATTTAAAAAATTTTATCCTAATTTTTTATTTAAATTAATTTTCTCTAACTTTTTGAATGTTAGTCCGACGCCAGGATTTGAACACGACCCTTCCGAAAGCCAGTACGCAATGCTAACTACTCGGCTACCGCGGCCGCGGATTAATTGATTAATAAGTAAGAAGGGCTAATTCCATAGTTTCACTGACCAATTGGTGGCAGTCCGAACGATCAAGCCGTCATTTTCTCGAAATAACAGGTTTATTGCCTGCTTTATAACTCATTTATACTGTTCGGTTGCTTACTATTGGGTTAAGGACCTTAACTACGTTTTACGCTGACTTTCTAGCTTCCTCTTAGTCAAATGAGGAATCATGAATAACTGCGAGTCATGGAACCATGTTATAGCTTTAGGTCGTCCTTTCCAGTGAAAAGTTTCGACGCTTTCATAGTCTTTAAATTATTTATAATGAAGCAAACTGTTGATTTATTCGCAATAGACTTTTATTTTCCATGTCGTTTTGAAATAAACCATTCTTGTAATTGTATTCTTTTGTATAATATAAAAATCTTATGTCAGCTTGGAAATATTCCGTTAACTCCAAAAATCTCCAAATAAAATATTGGCAGGTGGACCCCGGGCTGAGCTATTCGAAAAAATTGTTGTTCTTCTAAAGTTACCGACTGATTGACTTGAATTATCATCAGATTGCTTCTAAGATTCCAGGCACGAAGAAATCTTATTCGTGATTGGATGTAAATGAAATTTATATGTACATACATATGTATAAATGTTATACGAATTTCATTCAAAATACTCTCAAATTTATTCGCCACAATCTTTTTAACTCAATCTGCTTTATTTTCTGTTTTCGGATGTTTTGAATTTATCACTTTTCAAATACATACATACATAAGAATACATACATCCATACATATGTACTCCTTTGTATACGAGTAAATACGATTTTTTTAATTATTGTATTCTGGGAACTGACAGGCACTAATCGTAACGCGTATAAAACATTAAGTTTTTGTTTGTTTGTTTTTAAATGACAAAATTTGTGAAAGTATGTAATGTATAAAATTGCCGCGAGAAAATAATTTGGCTTACAAAGGCTATTCGTGGGGTATGTGTGAATGTGCCATACATACACATAATTTCTTACACTGTCACTGCTGCTTTGTTATCAATATTTATACACGGTCGTACTTTACCCGAGGTATATTCAGTTTGTAGCTTCAGAGGAACATTTTAAAGCCTTTTTTAAAGCAACTTTTCAATCAAAATTATTTGAGGCTTAATTTTGATTAAATTTCCTGGTAATGGGTCTCGTCGTGTCCACTTCCAACAAGAAATTTTACATTGCTTTTATAAGTTATTTCAAGAATGCGAAAATTTGTTTTTCACTTGGCTCGATGATTTTCAAAAACTTAACAATTCGAAGGAATCTCACAGTAAACTCGCTACTAATGCAAACGGAATGGGCGGAGGCAAAGTAATTTCCTACGCCGATGGTATCGTCATTGCATACAGAGGGAAGTTTCCACAAGCCCTCTGTGACTTAATGCAAGGAACACTAAGAAAAGTCTCATCCTGGACTACCAAATGTGGCCTCTGTGTCAACTCAAACCAGATGGAACTCATACTATTCACGAAAAGATATAAGATCTCTGCTATCAACCAACCACTCTAACTTGGTCTGGGATCAATAGCTAAATTTCTAAGAGTCATCTTAGACAAGAAGCTTAACTGGAAAGAAAATATTATTCATAGATACCAAAATACTGCGCTCTATATATGCAAAGGAGCAATAGGTACAAAATGGGGTCTAAACCACAGTATTTGCCGATAGATCTACATCTCAGTAGTAAGACCAACACTCCTTTACGGTGCGATCGTGTGGTGGCTAGCAGTGAATAAAACTTCATATGCTAAACTCTTAGATAAGATTCAAAGAAGTGCCTTAATGTCCATGAGTGGTGCACTTAGAAGCACGCCAAGTGAGGCTCTAAATGTGTTACTCAATATTTGGCAACTGGATTTGGTAGTACATCAGTCGGCAGCAATTACTGCACTTCGTCTGAGAGAGTCAAATCAATGGTCTACCCAGATATGTGGATACTCGACAATACTGTGCAAATACGACTTCTTACCAAATTATATGGATAGATGTGGTCCAATAGTAGTAACTGATAACCAATTTAGAATACGAATTCCCAGCAGGGAAGCATGGACAGATAATTACAATATTCCAAATGATAGCCTGAAAATATACACGGATGGATCAAAGCTTGAGGAGACAGTTGGCGGAGGTGTCTTTTTCGAAAAATCCTCCGATGATACTCTCGTTCGGGTTACCTGACAATTGCAGTGTTTTCCAGGCGGAGATATCTGCTATCATGGAGGCTGCAAAGCAAATTCGAGCCAGGTTGAAAGGAAAAGATATCTTCTTACGCATAACACCGAATTAGTGATGAACTGTTGCCGATCTCTAAAGGAGATGGCTAAACAGAACAGACTCTCTCTCATATGGGTCCCTGGTCCCAGGAATATAGAGGAAAACTGTTATGCGGATGAACTTGCCTGCGCGGGTACGACCAAACAGATTCTTCCCGATAAAGGACGCATTGGTAGCCTTTTGCTACATGCAAACTGCTTCTCAAGCAATTCATATATGAAGAAGTCACTACAAGGGAGAATGACATCACAACCTTCCGCAAAACCAGGCACACTTGACCGAAATGGAATAAGAAGAGATCGCGCGATATGTACTCCTTAAAAAGTTATAGGAGTTCTGGCGGGCCACTGTCTGATAGGGCGACACGTAGATAGACTAGGGGCTCCCTACAGAAGATGCTGCAGAAGCTTCAAGGAGGTTGAAGATGAGGAAACGATTATCCAGCTCTTATACGAGTTTTCAGCATTAGACAGGGCGAGGTTTCGTAATTTTGGGACCCTACTGCTGGTTGGTTTATCGAAAATAGCTGACGCCAAAGTTATGGATCTAATGAGGTTCATTAGAGAATTCCAATGAATGGAGGATGAAGCCTCATGGTTTAAGTTTTTGTGGTATCACAATGGGTCTAAGTCAGGCCTAAGGGAATCCTGTCTGTTATATCGGTGGCCACCGCAACTTAGCCTAACCTAACAATAAGAATCATGCCATTTCTTCGTCACTTCTCCCAACTGAAGTAAGAAACCTGCAGATGAGTTCGGTTCGGACCAAACTTGCCTCCCCCTTACTTGATTATTATATGCTAATTACATGAATACTCACTTTGAAATCATTACCTTTCAGTTTTTAATTCGGTTGCTAAATAGCTTCTGTACCTTTGGGCGCTATGTAGCGAAATTGATTATATATGTATGTCTAATACGCATTATATGAATATATTGTACAATATGTACATTAGACTGGCTCAAATCATAAAATAAATAAAAATTTTACTTTTCAAATTGGAATTACTCGAGTCATTATCATAACAAATATTTAGAGGTTTTGAAAAAAAAAATGTATACAAAACTCGGCCTCTGTTGATCAAAGATGGCCTCTTCTGGGTGAGCACTGCCTTTAAGCGGTCCATTTTTTGGCGTTTGGCCATAGGGGAGCAACTCGTAGTAGATTATTCCTTGCCAACACCAAATACAAAGCCTTCTTGGCCGTCAAGCCGGACTTGTCCACCGTCTGGGCCGCCTCCTCGAGCTTTGACCCCAACCGTTTGCGCTCGATGTTGTCGTAAGTGACCCATTTTACATCGCCAGTCACAATCCGCCTCAGAAAGGGGTCGATTTTACTGCGATTCAGCAGCGATTCGCAGAAGGAAATTCGGTCCATCATGTTTTTTTGCGTTAGTTCGTGTAGCACCCAAACATCGAGCTTCTTTTTGACTCCAAGATTATGCCGATGGTTCCAAATGGTTTTCTGGCTTACCTTTAGTTCCTCAGCAATTAAATAAGTGCTCACGTGATGGTCTGTTTCCATTATTTTCATGGTGTCCATCTTTGACGAGCGCTCACAACGTACGGAGTCAATCAATCGAAAAACTGTCAAAGACAAAATTTCAGCGCGAATAAATACGTTTCCAGAGACGTAAAGTATGACATGATGCGACACGTAACACTAGTACTATGGCAATAACACCATCTCTTACTTCGTGATACTCAGATTAAACAAATTACAGAAAAAAATTCAAATTACCGAAGTTGTTTTATTAAGGGGTCAACCAGAGTTGCTTTATGTGATTTTTTTTAACTTCTCCATTAAATGTTTACAGTACCAAGCGTATGTTTGCCTATTAATAAGGTATCTTTTCATATTTTTTTAAAAGGAAATCTTATATTTTCAACGAGATATTCACTGCCCCGTGGAGGTCGGAAAAAACAAGTTCCGATTTTGCTGTAATTCTAGCTGACTTCAGGACACCTGAAATGAAAGCAGACACAAAAGCCCTTAATGAGAGTTGTATGAACAGTAAAGTGATCCAGAATTAAGTTATATAATAATATCCAAAAAAATAATGATATTGAAAAAGTTGAAATTAAGCTTCAAAATTTGACGGTATTTTCCTAGCAAAATTTGCAGTTTCAATGTGATAGAAATATCCGAGGGTCACTTTATGCTTGAAAAACAACTTAAAATTTATGAAAATAATTGAAAAATTTTCAAAATATTTTACATCAAGCATTACAAATTCGAGAGTCTCATCCAGATTTTATGTCTCCCAGGCTAATGGACTCTTAAAACAATGACATAATTGAAACCCGTACCACGGTTGTATTGTATTTGAAAAAATTTCAATAATTGCAAAAAAAAAATTGTAAGCGATTCAACGAAGGTTTTTGCACCGTTCGTCATAAGAGTTCGTACATACATACCTAAACCTTGATCGCACTAATGGTATATAAATTGGCTGAGTTCGTAATGGAAATCAATCAGCATCTAACTACTAACAGACGCAGCATTTGGCTAATCCAACACCAACGTTCAGGCAAAATGGCATTTAAGGTAAATTATTATTTAATTTCAATTTTTAAACAATCAATAAATTATCATTTCAAAATATTTGTAGTTCGTAGCAATTTTCGCTATCATTTCGTTGGCCAGCGCTGGCGTAATCCCCGTACAAGAGGTTTATCATCATTCACCTGTTGCGACCGCAGTAGTGAAAGCACCCATAGCTTATGCTGCTCCAGCTCCGACATATGCTCATGTTGCTCCAGCCCCAATTGCTGTACATGCACATGTTCAACCTGCTCTTGCTAAGCAGGATGAAGAGTATGACCCACATCCACAATACAAATACGGCTATGATGTACAGGACGCACTCTCTGGCGATTCTAAAAGTCAAACTGAGGAACGCGATGGTGATGTCGTTCACGGCGAATACTCTTTGATCGATGCTGATGGTTTCAAACGTGTAGTGCAATATACCGCCGATCCCGTTAATGGTTTCAATGCTGTTGTTAACCGAGTGCCATTGGAACATGTTAAGACCGTAGTGAAGGCCGCACCTGTTGCCTATGCAGCTCCAGCTGTCGTCAAGCAGTACCCTGCACCAATTGCTTATCATCATTAGACCGAAATAGTGCTTTAAGGAAATGAAAAAGTTGTTGAATAGTTTTAGAAATCTATTAAACTTTGTTACCGATTTGAAAATGTGGGTTTCTTATTTGCTTGGTTTTTATCTTAAGAATTATTGAAATTGTTCTCTGTTTTAAATGGAGAAGGCATCTAATGAAGAGAAAATAATGAGTGTTAGTTATATTAAGGATCAAATTCACCTGGTCTACAGATGTAGTCAAAACATAATGAATTTCACCGTTCCGTTTTCGTTTTTTAACACCATATCGCAACATCATAGCATGTGCCAGAAATCGTAGTCGCCATATTTCCTTCGGTTTTAAAATCAGCCAACCACTTTCCACTTTTTATCCCCAGTCACTATCCGCTTCAGAAATAGGCACTAAGTAATCGAAATATTACTACATGATGCACTGATTCTGTAGAAGAGAAATTGTAGAATTTATAGGATTATATCGTATTTTCTCTTTACTGGGACTGAGCCATTGGAAAAAATCTGATTTATGGTTCGGTTTCGGTACATAGATGGCTTTTTGCTGAAGTTAACTGGAAGTCTACATATCTTTCCAGATTCACAGGATGGAGGAAAAAAGTTCATCCAGTAAGTGAACAAACCACAGACCTATTCGAAAAAATTGTAGTTATTGCTCGATTGACTTGAAATTCGGTACATAGGAAGCTTTTTATTTAGATTGAAAAGAATACTACACTTCTCTCGGGTAAGTGAACCGGCTACTTTCCTACTCAAAAAGTCGGACTATTCCCTCAGAGTAAAAGATATCCCATTATTAATTTTACATACATTCAATGAGTATATGTGAAAGCGAAGCGTTGCAGCGTACAGCTAGTAGATATAGAGGGTGATTTTTTAAAAGCTATGGGAAAGTTTTTCATAAAAAAGCGCAGAAAAAATTCAGAAAAATACATGAAATCTTTAATTGAATTGATAGTACGGTCCATATAATTTAATGTTTGAAGATTATTTCACGCAAATGTTGACCGTGACTGCACCTCAAATGGTCCATCTACTTAGTTCACTTTTGGCATACTCTTTCCGACATTTCGGCCGGTATCTCACGAATAAATGCTTCAAAGTGGTCCTCCAATGCGTTCATTGGAGCGAGTTTGTCTGTATAGACATTAGATTTAATACAGCCTTACAAAAAATAGTTTGAAGGCGTTAAATCACGCGATTTAGGCGGCCAATTGAACGGTCCCGAGCGTGAAATAAAATGTTCACCGAACTCGCCTCTCAATGAGTCCATTGTTATGCGTGCTGTGTGCTGCTCAATTAAATCAGACATTATAAAAATCGCCGAAGGCACTTTTAGTCGTTTAGTAAACACAAACGTAACATTGATAACATTGACATGAAATTTGGCGTAAATGCCAACTTTTAGGTCATCTTGCCCCACTGTACAACGTAACGATGAACTTCACGTTAATCAAAAAAATGTAATTCGATTCAGTTGAAACTTTTGGAAATATTATCGCTAAAGTGGAATAAATTTTATTTCGTTTTATCCGAAACGAAAAGCTGTCGTTAATGTTAAATCGTTAACAGATATTTTTAAAAGTTAAAATTGAAGAGTGCTGTTAATAACATAACAGGCAACCATATTAAAAATGACATTATCTCTGTGTTTGTGTGATTGAAACATTAACAATTTAATTACGTTTCGATAACTTAGGGCCGAAACGAGACAATTTTTGGTAAATTTATTTTTCATATTCCTGAGCAGCTCTGGTTCATGCACTTGACTTACACCTGACTTAACTTTGGAAACTTTTGCTTAAAAAGGCTAGAGTGGAGGTCTGGATTTATTAACGGAGTATTTGCAGAATCATAAAATCTTAATTTGGAAAAATTAACATTCCATTCAAAAGAAATCGCAACGAACGACTTTACACCACTATTAAATTTGACATTTTGATAAAACTAAAGCGTGGAAATTAAGTCGTAATAAATTACTAAATGTTCATATTTTAGTATCTAGTCAGCATCAATAAGATTTGCTGAAATTTTTTTTTTTTATTTTAGCTTCATTGATTTTCCTTTACTTTGATTTGGTACCCAAATTTTTACAACGACTTACACGAATTTTTATTTACAATCATTTATTTTGTCGACAAGCTTTTGACTTTTACGGTACATTGAAGATCTAGAAATTATTTATGGTTTGGAAAATACTTACATACATATGCATATATGTATATTTTTTAGCAGCATGCATATGTAAAAAAAACAACAATATTTGTTGTAACTAATCAACGTCAATCCCAAAACCACTATTCGCAATTTCGATTTCATAAATTAAGAAAAAGGGTTGACAAGAGAGCTGCCACATTTCAATAATTTCATGCAAATTGAATTTAATGTATGTAATTTTGTTAATTGCGTACAAGTGCGCAGTGCGTAATTGACTGGTGCGGCGAATCGCCAGTGATGACTGAATTTCCGAGGCTGACTGACCTGTTGCCACAAAGCAGTGCATGCGCAACTCAACTACATTCCCTTTACTGTAATTTCGACAACATAATTTTTTGATGTCGTCCTGTTAAATACTTTGATGTTCATACATTTACTTTTATGTGAGTCAAATAAAAAAAGAAAAATATATACATATGTATGTATTTCATTCAGACAAACAAAGAATTCAATATTCAACAGCAAAATGGCTTTACAATTGCCGTCGCAGACAAAGCGAACAGAAAAACTGTATGTAGGGATATAAATGCAAATATTTACTGATCTGGCCTCCATCATTCGAATTTTTTTCATTATCGGCAAAGGCAGCGATCAACGGAGTGTTAAGGTCAAAGTCAGGTTTTATTGTTAATTGGCGTACTTACACTGTAATGTATGTATGTTAACCATCCCACATACCCCGCCAAAAAAATACCTTCATTTCTGTGAGCTCATTGTATCTACATACATATATAAATATGTATGTAAGTGCTGTCATTAAGACCGGGGTAATTCTCATGTAAGTAACTGTTGTTACAAGCGGCCAAGCGGTCTACCGAATGACTCCTCATAAACACTCTGCTATAGCAATATAGCAATGTACACATGTATATACGTACATACATATGTACTATGTATAAGTATGTACAAAGAGCGCAAAACAGAAATACGCTAAGTACGTGGTGGCCATATCTGCGAAGAAAACAACAATTTTAACACCAAAATTCAAATTGAGTGCCCAACTTCTGCTCGAAGCGTAGTGACAGCCGTCAAACTCGAAGTCATGCCACGTACATACTCGTATAATAAATACAATGGGCCTGTGCTTTGGGCTTTGAAATAAGACTTAAACGTAAAAACTAAATACTTCTTAAAATTAAATTTTTCATTCTTCATTTTCTCTCATATATTGAAGCAAGTAATATTTAAATATTGAATTTGTACAAAGAAAGTAAGCGCCAGTAATGTGGGTAAACTTATTTAAAATTCGTGATTTTCTCCAAGTTGTTTTTTACTTACCACAAATTGTACCTGACCTGCAGAATCGTCCTTTGTCCAGACTTAAGGAATGTGTATAAATCATATTAACAGATTTCAGACCTTATTTGAAGTTACAGGTTTCGTGAAATTAACTGTATCTTAAATACTAAACATAGCACGTTCTTTGCCAACGCCTAACGCGTGTCTGGAAAAAAAGTTTTCATTTTTATATGTGCATTTTATTTAACGCGTACACTGTGAGAGAGTTGAATGAAAGTCACGCGATTTGAGACATATTAACAGAGCACTTCATAAACATACATACATACGAGGTGTGATCAGATAACATCCATTTATGTTCGATTTTCACTTTTTTTCTGTTATGTTGGTACACATGTCTGTTATCAAGGGTGATTTCTTAAGAGTTTTAGGAAAGTTTTTCAAAAATAAACACAAAAAATAAAGAAAAATGCATGACATCTTTATTTGAATCGATTGTACGGTCTATATAATTTAATGTTTGAAGATTATTTCATGCAAATGTTGACCGTGACTGCGCCTCAAATGGTCCACCTACTTAGGCCACTTTTGGCATACTCTTTCCAACATTTCGGCCGGTATCTCACGAAGAAATGCTTGAATGTTGTGCTCCTCCAATGCGTCAATTTAAGCGGACTTGTCTGTATAGGCATTCAATTTAACATAGCCCCACAAAAAATAGTATTAAGGCGTTAAATCGCACGATCTAGGCAGCCAATTGAACGGTCCCGAACGTGAAATAAAATGTTCACCGAACTCGCCTCTCAATAAGTCCATTGTTACGCGTGCAGTGTGGCATGTGGCACCGTCTTGTTGAAACCACATATCATGCAAGTCAAGCTCTTGTATATTGGGCAAAAAAAAAAAAGTGTGATGTCATGATATGACGATGCGCATCATCTTTGAAGAAGTACGGTCCAATGATGTCATCAGCCCATAAACCGCAGAAAATACTGACTTTTTCTGGATGCATTGGTAGCTCTTGCAATGCTTCTGGCTGATCTTCACTCCAAAATCGACAATTCTACTTATTTACGAATCATTGAGCCGAAAATGAGCTTTTTTGAACTTTCTTAACAGAGTACGCTATTTGATAATAAAATTGAATAATTTGCAAGCGTAGTTGGCTTAAAAGACGATCCATGGTTAAATTATGGACCAAACTGAAGATGTTTGACAGTGATACAAAACACGAAACGTGCGTCAGCTGTTGTAACCAGTGTTATTAAAAAGACAATAGCTAAAAAATCACCCTTTATATGTTGGCAATATCAGCCACTTTGGATTTTCAGTTCGATTTTGACAGATAAAAAGGTTAGTCGTCTATTGGTGTTCGCTTCGATGTTTTACTATTCGAAAAAATGGACTCAAGCAACTGAATTAAGTTTTTTGTAAAACCGAAATTAAATGCGAAGGGGCATGGGAAATGTTGACTGTGTCGTTTGGCGAGTATACTATGAGCAGAACACAAGTTCATTTCTGGTTAACCGGTTTAAGGAAGGCCGAGAAGATGTCG